GGTTCTATGGGCAGCTGTACACATCATCGTTGGAGCCACACGCAAGTGTGAGTAACGATCCAAGAGCAAGTCTTATCCGACACTATTCCGATGATATCCCGGACGTCAGTCTAAGCGAGATTAGAATGGCTCTCCAGCACTTTAAAAACGGCAGGGCCCCAGGCGAGGATGGAATTACAGCGGAGCTTCTGAAAGCGGGTGGAACACCGGTACTTGAAGTCCTTCAGAAGCTCTTCAATTCCGTCCTCCATGGTGGCACTACTCCAGAGGCGTGGAGCAGAAGTGTGGTGGTCTTGTTCTTTAAGAAAGGCGACAACGCTCTCTTAAAGAACTACAGACCGATTTCCCTTCTGAGCCGCGTCTACGTGCTGTTTTCGAGAGTCATTACGAATCGTCTCGCACGCAGACTTGACGACTTCCAGCCTCCCGAACAAGCCGGTTTCCGAAAAGGCTTCAGTACCATAGACCACATACATACCCTGCGGCAGATTGTACAGAAGACTGAAGAGTACAATCTGCCACTTTGCCTGGCGTATGTGGACTATGAGAAAGCCTTTGATTCCGTCGAAATTTGGGCGGTGCTACAGTCCCTTCAGCGGTGCCAAGTTGACTGTCGGTATATCGAAGTGCTGAAGTGTTTGTACAGTAGGGCTACGATGGCTATCCGAGTACAGAACCAGAGCTCGAAACCTATCCAACTGCAGAGAGGTGTAAGACAGGGTGACGTTATATCCCCGAAACTCTTCACCGCTGCATTGGAAGACGTTTTCAAGCTACTGGACTGGAAAGGATACGGTATTGACATCAATGGCGAGTACATCACTCACCTTCGATTTGCCGACGATATAGTCCTTATGGCAGAATCGCTGGAGGACTTAAGCACTATGCTCAATGACCTCAATAGTGCCTCCCAACGGATAGGTCTTAAGATGAACATGGACAAAACAAAGATCATGTTCAATGTCCATGTCACACCTATGCCGGTAGTTGTTGGGAGCACTATGCTCGAAGTTGTTGACGAATACGTTTACCTGGGACAAATAGTCCGACTAGGTAAGTCCAACTTCGACCGAGAGGTCAATCGACGGATTCAACTCGGCTGGGCAGCGTTCGGGAAATTACGGCATATCTTTTCGTCAGGTATACCTCAATCTCTAAAAACTAGATTGTACAACCAGTGCGTGTTGTCAGTGATGACTTACGGATCTGAGACGTGGTCCTTAACTGCTGGCCGTATGAGGACGCTTAAGGTCGCTCAGCGAGCTATGGAGAGGGCTATGCTCGGAGTTTCTCTGCGTGATAGACTCAGAAATGAGGATATCCGCAGTAAAACCAGAGTGACCGACATAGCCCAACGGATTAGTAAGCTGAAGTGGCAATGGGCCGGCCATATAGCTCGAAGAACCGATAACCGATGGGGAAGAAAGGTTCTCGAGTGGCAGCCTCGTACCGGTAGGCGTAGTGTAGGGCGACCCCCCACTAGATGGAGTGACGACCTGGTAAGACATGCAGGAAGTCGATGGATGCAGGTGGCTCAGGACCGTGCTTTGTGGCATTACTTGGGGGAGGCCTATGTTCAGCAGTGGACTTGTGAAGGGCTGTAATGATGATGATGATGATGATCTTTATTACTTGGAATGTGCGATTTTTATGAGTGTTGTCTTGTTTTTTTACGTCCAGACTCCATCGACGTAAATGTTTGTTCCAAAAACTCTTGTAATTTTGGCAGTTCCCGGGGACATTTCAAATATTGAACATAATCATGATGAGTTTCGTTATCGAGTTTTTGAGGACAATAATCGGATCCCAGGTGCTTATGTCAATTCCTAGCTTTTTATTGCATTTAAACATTCCAGCGTAGTGTCGTGTATTTTCTTGATATTGGTGACGGATGCTTGATGTGAAACTGGCAAACTCATTAGTAGGTTCATATGAGAAGTGAATATAAGTTTCGGGTTATTATATCGGTTGTTTAAAATGTCCCAACAGATAATATAATTATCCGAGCTTATCTGTAGGTGTTGTATCAGCCGCTCCGCTTCTCTCTTGACTTTGCTCTTTAAGAATTGCATTTTTTGAGCACTGGAAAGGAAGCCATTGTTATGAATGCATTGCGTAAATAAATCTTTGAACGGAACCTATTGATGATAATTCCCATTGAAGGTAGGAATATCAAGCTTCGTTGTAAATCTTTCTTGATGAGCTGTCGACCATATTTTCTTGTTGATCGCCTTCTTTATGTCACTAAAGCTTCTCTCATGGATGGAAAATTCTTGTTCGTATGTTACGTTAGTACCCTCCAGCTCGCTGTCGAGCTCCCAATGGAGAGAGTCGATAGCGTTCCATCTAACACTCAAGGTCTTCAGAGCATCTTTTAATTCCCAGTTATCGGTTAACAAATCTCAGTCAATGTTTGCTAAAGTTCGCTTAAAAGTTCTAAAGTTGCCACTTTGTTTACGCAATATCTCATCCAGCCTGCTGTTAATACTGCGGTCCACTTGTCGCGGTGTTACTGACGACGTGGAAGGCGGGGGGGGGGGGGGTTGACAGTTGCTGGTTTAGTGATCGGAGTAGAGGGTTTTGATTTTTCTTCAGTTGGTAAGAAACTTTGTGTGTAGTCTTTTGTTTTTGTGTAAAAATCAAGAACTTGTCCGTATTGATTCTGCACAATATAGGAATGGTTTTCAACACACAACTCACGTACCTGAAGGTGAAGTTTATGAAATTCCTGCCAGTAAGTATCCAAAGTGTCCAGTCGTTTTTTGATATGAGCAGCATTCCTACGGTCGGCGCCGTCTTTTCTGAAGTTGCTGAGCAGCTGCTCCATACCAGAAACCATCTGTTGTTGATTTGCTTGTAAGTCTTCCATGGTGTTGTAGTTAAAAGGTATTCGATAGGTGTTAAGTGAACGGATTTATTCCTGTTTCCTCCGTGTCCCGATGAACTTCCAGCGATATATGCGCCTTCTCAATCTGCCTGGTGAGACCCGCTTCTGGGAGGCCAGACAAACCGATTCGCTATCACCGAAAAATCACAATCACACTTCACTTTCGAAGGACCAAAAAGATGTTGTGGTATTCAACACCTTTTGATGTAAATGTTAAAATATAATTGTTCAAATGCTTAAAAAATATTTATTGTTAAAATGTTTGCAATGTTAGGAGTACACGAGACTTTGTTGGCGTCCGTACATGTACTGGCTAAAAATACAAAGTTTAATGTTAAATGCCGACGCGTACAAAACGTGTTCGGTGTAAACCGAACAATATAGATGCCCCAATAATAATAATAATATAATATAATATACGAGGGTGGATTGAAAAGTATTCGGCCTAACACAGATCCATTCAATTCTAAAAATCAAATCTACCCACATTATTTAGTTCAGTTCAGACTAGTTCATTGTGTGAAGTTCGAAACGTGTGCGATAATTAGTTGTAATTTTATAAATTTATTAACAAAGTAATCGGACATAATTTCCGCGAATGGAGCAAATCGAGCAGCGTGCCGTCATTAAGTACCTCCATAAGAAGGGGCTATCATCAAAAGCCATCCATGATGACATGATCAGTACATTAGGCGATTGTGCTCTGTCATATTCATCCGTCAAAAAATGGATAGCAGAATTTAAACGTGGTAGAGAGAGGAAAGATGAACCCCGCTCTGGAAGGCCTTCGACGTCAACTACTGACGAAAATATTAAAAAAGTACTTGATTTAATAATGGGAGACCGCAGATTAAAAATTAGAGAGATAGCCGAGATTATAGGCATCTCTTATGAACGAACTCAAAACATCATTGTCAACGAGTTGGGTTTCCACAAGGTGTCTGCGAGGTGGGTTCCGCGACTGCTTTCAGTTGAACAAAAAAGGACGCGATTGACTATTTCACACGAATGTTTGGAGTTATTTGAAGCCGATGCAGATGATTTTTTGAATCGTTTTGTTACTATGGACGAAACATGGGTTCATTACTGTACACCGGAAACAAAACAACAATCAAAACAGTGGAGAAGACCTGGTTCACCACCCCCTAAAAAGGCTAAGTCGATTTTGTCGGCAAATAAGGTGATGGCTTCAGTATTCTGGGACTCGAAAGGTGTGATTATGATTGATTATCTTGAAAGGGGTCAGACTATAAACTCTGATTACTACTGCACCTTACTACGTCGTTACGAGAGGAAATAAAAGAAAAACGTCGAGGAATGCTCAGAAGAAAAGTCCTGTTTCATCAAGATAACGCCCGTGTTCACACGTCAGTACAGTCAATGGCTGAAATTCACAACTGTGGTTTTGAACTGTTACCGCATCCGCCGTATTCACCTGATCTGGCACCATCAGACTTCTTTCTGTTCCCTAACCTAAAAAAGCACTTGGGAGGTCAAAGATTTTCGACAAACGACGAGGTCAAAGCAGCTGTAAACGCATATTTTGACTCTAAGGAAGAATCATTTTTTTTCAACGGTCTAAATGCTTGGAAGGGGAGGTGGCAAAAGTGTATTGAACTTGATGGTGATTATGTAGAAAAATAAAAATATAACTGATTTAGTATGTGTTTATTTTCTTGGTTAGGCCGAGTACTTTTCAATCCACCCTCGTAATAAAGAAATAGGCTAGTATAATTTTGAGTCGATTATATAGCTCAAAGGACGAACAACCGATAGGAAAGAAAGTTCTTGAGTGACAGCCTCGTACCGGTTAGCGAATTCTACTGTCCCCACTAGATGAATTGAGGACATGGTAAGGTATGCGGGAAGTATATGGGTACAGGTGGCTAAAAATGTTTTTTAGCGTTCTTTAGCGTTGATAATGAATCGTTTGAATCGAAATGAAAGTTTGTGTTATCAGAGTGAAAGTGTAACGCAAAGCCTACGTCAGTAGTGTTAAATGTTGCGTTATTTTCTCTGTGTTTTACTCTAGGTCAGTAGGTGAACCCTATCAAATCCTACACATATCACTAAGCTTCATCACCACTCATAAATAGTTTTTTTTCTTTTTTAGTACTTGTTCCACAAAAAGGTGCGTTCGAAAACCTGATACGTACGTACCCACAACTACATGATAATGCGTTGTGGAAGCAGAGATTAAGCGAAAGCGGCAGTGATACCTCGTTTTTGGTGTTACCAGGTTGGTATTATATGTATTTTACCGATTTTTATTTCAATTTGCCGTACGGTGGTGGCGTAAGGAGAATACATCAGCCCAATTCGTCCCGTGGTTGTCGTAAGAGGCGACCGAAATACTACAAAAACAATATGGGGTCATATAGACAGCGGTGTGACCTTTTCGTTTACGTCAGACGTAAAATATTAAGACCAGCGACAAATGAGCAAGACGTCTGATACTGCCATGTCAATACGTGTACCAAGAGTGACGATTAAGAAAAATGTAGACTACGTGGTCACGTGGTCAAAATTATACGTAGGATGGCGCTGCATGAAAATGCTGCTCTATCTAGCAGCTTAATGCTGCTGCTTTTGTATGGCGAGTGCAGAGCACCGGAGGTGCTTTTTAATGAAAACGAGACATTCCATCTCAGTGCTCAAGAGTGACAACGCATGTGCATTTTGATTCTTAATCAAGGATAAGTGTAGATGTTTATGGCCCACAGGACTCTTATTTTATAAAAAAAGTCCTCTCTATAACATGAAAGCAGTTGAATTTTAGAAGAAAAAAGCTCCTACGCGGGCCCCGTCTTTGCCCACGCAAACCCTAATATTTTAAATGAACTCCAAATAGTTCAGAACCTCTTCTGTCGTCGAGCTGCGAACGCACCTTGGTACGTCCGTAATGCCGACCTACATCGGGACCTAGAGCTCCCAACAATTCAACAATTTTTTTAAAAAACTCTCTGAGAACTTCTTCAAAGCCTCAGAGTCGCACCCAAACCATTTAATTCGTGAGGCAGCTTCTTATGCAGCCCCACCCCCCCTCTCGCTATCGTGTCCGCAGGCCGAGAAACTCTCTCTCGGACCCGCCTAATAAACTGTCAAACGACCTGAACTGTCTCCTGGCGGCTCAGGCCAACTCTAATTAAATTAAATTATTGCATTAACTAATATTAATTTGCCTTCGTAGGCACTCCCTCAGCGGCTCGTAGCCGCCTGCGCCCTCTTTTCCCAAAAGAGGGTCGCTCACGATAAGGCACAATAAAGCTTAATCAGCCGGCTGCCTGTCCCCAAAGGCGGTTTTTAGAGGGTATCACTTAGGGTCCCCGGTAGGACAGTGAGCCCCTCATAACCACGATAGACCGGCTATCGTGGTATGCGTAATGCATTTTCCGCCTCCCTACGTATAGGGTAGCCCTTTAATTGCTTCGGGCGCAAAAAAAAAAGAAAAAAGCCCGTAGAATGTTAGAAAAGAAGATTTTAGAAAGACAGCCGCACAAGTGTTTCAGGGGAAACCGTGCTCCCTAGAAAGAAAAATAATATTTTTATTCAGTGTAGATTATTTCTAGTTTTAAGTTTTTTGTACCTACTGCATAATATTAATAGAAAATATTATTTATTTACTGCAGAAAAATTAAGACATAGATACGATTTTTGAAATAAAATTTCTTTACGCACGCTTAACTTGTGGAGTAATCTCGTGAAAGCGTTACGGAAAGTGTGATCAGGCGAGGCGAACGGGAGTTGAGTGGGGGATATAATCAAGAGAAAGTGCGCAAGCAAGCGAGAGAGCAGTGCGCGTGCACATTTTCTTTCTCTCTTTCTATCATAGCCAGTTATTTTTCGTAATTTTATTTCATTTTGAACAATTTTATGAATTATTATTTTGTTCAATATATTAAATATTCAACGTTTAAAGTGAATAAAATTGTAAATCATTTTAAAGTTTATGTTTAGTGAATTTTCGGGTGAATAATAACAAATTATGGAAGGAAGCCGATAATAAATTTAAATATTTGTAAAAAATTAATAAATGTATATGTATACACATTTATTATATACATATATAAATATATATATATATATGTATATATATATATATATATATATATATATATATATATATTATTCATGTTAGTATTATATATGTATAATGTGTACATGTAAATACATAAATACATATACATATATATGTATTTATATATATAAGAGTCGTGGTAGCTCAGTGGTTAACGCTCGCTGTAAATATAACAGAACGCGAGTAACCCGGGTCGATCCCCGCCGGCACCAATGAAATTGTTAATTGCAATTTTAAGTGCTGATTTACCACGTGCTCGGCGGTGAAGGAAAACATCGTGAGGAAACCTGCATGTCTGAGGAAGAAGAAAAAAATATTTCGAAGACATGTGAAGTTCGTCAACACGCATTTGGGCAGCGCGGCGGACACTTCCTTGCCCTAAAACCTCTCAGAAATGAGGGGAGGCCTGAGCCCAGCAGTGGGACGTATATAGACTGTAACTTTACTTTTAACTTTATGTACATATATTAATTTTTTACAAATATTTAAATTTATTTATTAATTGCAGAAAAATTAAGACATAGATACGATTTTTGAAATAAAATTTCATCAAATCTTATATATGTCTTAATTTTTCTGCAAGTAAGCTTAAGCAAACTCGTTTTGTTTACAGACGCTAAGGATTTGGATTTGAGAGTTATGTATAAAATAATAGAGTATGAAAATCTACTGGACTCCTCAAATATGACTGAGGTGGAATGGATTAAAATCGCAGAGGATATAATGGTAAATGGTATATTTTTAAATATATTTTCATTGGGTAGTCTCGTTTTGTATATATAATGCAGGAAATCTTAGGTGTGCTTAGGTGTACTTTGATTATAGTAAAAAAGGCAGTGTAATTGTTTGACTTTAGTGGAAATCACTGCTCAACTCTGTTATGTTTCTCATAGTGATTACATTTTGTGATGATGATGATGATGATGATTAATATAAAAATATCAGAGTTCGTAATATCACCTATAATAATAACCGGTAGAGAATGTCTTAAGACGTTGTCTGTCTTTGTCCTTTTTTATGCAACAAAGTTTATATAAATAAGTAAAATGAATACATATTAATATTAATATAAAATAATACTATAGTTTAAAAGTAAACTCCAACAACCAGCTTTGATCATGAACAATGATGACCCTAGTAAGAATATTAGGTCATAACCTTGCGAGAGGGCTTTAACTTTACTAACTATTAGGACACTCAGCCAATGGAATAGCATACTTGTATAATGGTCTTGCCATTTCTAGAAATACTATGAGGATTACGATGGATTCGTCGTGTTACAAGGAACGGATACATTGTCCTACACGGCCTCGGCTCTCTCCTTCATGTTCGAGAACATTGGCAAATGCGTTGTACTGACTGGCTCACAGGTAGGTTGGCACTAGGTTGCTAAATTGACTAGAACAGAACTAGAATAATTGATAGAATCAGGCGTTACTTTGCGGAAATCCATTATAATAAAAATATTAATTACTTCGCAACCTTCCGCTAACTAAATACAATGATGTGTCTTACCTGGATTGAAGAACACCTCCCGCCCTCCCTCAATTGCATGCACTAACCCCCGGCACCACTACTTACAACACCGCTACTTCCAACACCACTATTCCAGGCCTTTGACTTAGCGGCCAGCCACCGTAGAGTCTACATCACCTGAGGATGCCTCGTGTAGAGGCGAAACACGTGTCGTATTATCGTCGATGGTGTGTCTTACCTGGAACCTGGTGCTTGCTGTGACCCATAGACATCTACATCTAACCTCGATTACAAATCAAAATGCAGATGCGTTGTCACCCGTGAGGACTAAAGATGGAATGCCTCGATTCCAATAAAAAGGGTCTCCGGTTCTATACACATACCATACGAAACACAGCTGCTATTTTACGCTGGTATTTTGTGAGAGCTTGGTCCTTTCCCGGTCGAGCCGATCCATTCCTGCTACAACTATACCAGTAATATATCTGTAGCATGGCTCTACCACGTAAAGACGGACTTGTCAGAAAACTCCGTTTAATTGTACACAAATATTTTGAAAAGATAAAAACATGAAAAATGAAGAGGAAGGGTAGAAAACTTTTACAAATCATAAGCACACAACGCGCATGGTTACGATATACAAAATGTCTACCTTTCAACTACATTTTTTATAGAATATAGGTGTCAAACGAGCACATACCACCTGATGGTAAGAGGTTGCTGTGGCCCATAGACATCTACATGTACCATCGATTACGAATAAATATGCAGATGCGTTGTCACCCGTGAGGACTAAGATGGAATGCCTCGTTACTATCGTACAGTCCACCTGGTGGTAAGTGGATGCTGTGACCCATAGACATCTACATTAACCCTCGAACAAGGATCAAAACGCAATCGCGTTGTCACCCCTGAGGACTAAGATGCAATGCCTCGTTTCCAGTAAAAAAGGGACTCCGGATCTCTACACTCACCATACGAAACACAGCAGTATTTAGCTGCTATGTTACGTTGGTATTCTGTGAGAACCTGGTCATTCCCCGGTCGAGCCGACCCATTCATGCTATTACCATAATATAGCTGCAGCGTGGCTCTACCACGTATATCATCTACATTCAAAATCATTTGCAACATAGTTTTAGTTGTATATTTATGCGTTCAGAACTTTTACGTGCTCTTAAATCATCCATTCATTCGCCCAAAATCATGTTGTTCGTTACAAATGATTTTAGATGCATCTGTGTGCGTAAGTAAGAGTTTCGGCGAAATGTACGCAGCGCAGGATTTGCCTAATTAAAGTAATATATAAAGAGTAACCGTTGTGCTTGGCTACTGTATACTACTGTATACTGTATAATACTGTACTGTATAATACTATACTGTATAATACTGTATACTGTATTGCAGTGCAACAGTATGCCTCCAGTCTATTATATTTGCTCAATCAGATACTATAAGACCTCTTGCTGTCGCGGATGAGACAAGGTGAGACGATAATTGATTCTCTTATAACGCCTCAACACTGCGATCGTCAAAAATATCGTCTTAAATATAAAAAACACAATTTAAAAATAGATAATTTTCTACCTTTTTATTGTTATTTAAATGTTAAGTTTAGTGAGTAAAAAATAGTTTTTTATTTAAAACAAATTAAAAAAAAAAAAACAATTTTAAAATGTAGATAGGACTGCGTCTCACAAAAATGTAAGTCACAGAGTATTTAACATTCTCACCTTTGTCGTGATTTAAGAAATGATGATTCGACTGATAACGCTTCATCGCATACAGGTAGGCGGTTGTATTGATAGTGTAAACAAAATAAAAGAAAAAATGATTCAATATCTTATTGTTGCGTCACCAACAATCATCGTCTGCGATTTAATCTGTAAGGTTCAGAATGAACGCAATAGGTCACACATATTTATGATGAGTAATTATCAATCGGAAAGTAATATGCGATATTAAAAACGGTTATGGAAATATTTATATTTCTAAAAAAAAATCGTTTTTGTTATAGATACCGATTTTTGAAACGCGCAGCGACGGTGCGGACAACTTCGTGTCCTCCTTAATGATTGCAGGGAGCTTAAACATCCCAGAGGTGACAATTTTCTTCGGGAGCAAGCTCTTTAGGGGTAACAGGTAATATTTATTTTTATTATAAATTATTTTTTATTTTGTACTTCTTTTCATGAGTCATGTATACGGGGTTATTTTGCAATAACCGGTCAAATTTGCAGAACAGGTTCAGAATAAGTAATATAGACAAATGGTTAAGAAAAATTAATTAAAAAAAATCTCAAACATTCCCTCCTTTTTATCTTTTAAATTCAAAATGCATTATTTTAACCACTCGTGATATCCGTCAGTCTATGGACCTATTAGTCTGACCTATGGTCAAGCCAAAGAGTATAGTAGGTTTGGCCAAAGACAATTTTTTAAATGAAGGTAAATATAACTTAGAGTCATTACCATGTTCTTATCCAAAAATAAAAATTATCAACAATTAAAATATCGAATTATTTGTATGAAGGTCACGTGAGCGCTAGAGAAATGATTGTAAGACGTTGTTGACAAATAAAATGTTTAATGAAATAGTACAGTAAAAATAGAATTTAACATTGCACGAAATTTCCAATTAATTTTATTTTTTTATATAAGGTTTAGGATCACTTATCCAGCATAAGATCACAAAATGCCGACAGATCCAGGTGGCGCTTCAAGCGCAATCTTGAAAAAAACGTTTTCAGCCGATATCTCGGTAACTATGCACTGTAAGGCAAAGGTTATATAAACCATTATTGTAGAAAATAAAATTTTGCATCTTTGGTTTCCAGTAAATTTTTTTTGTAAAACTTACCGTTTACGATTTATGGCCCATTTAATGAACAGGTGGCGCTTCAAGCGCCATCTTGAAAAAACGTTTTCAGCCGATATCTCGGAAACAATGCACTTTAAGGCAAAAGTTATTTAAACAATTATTGTAGAAAATAAAATTTCGCATCTTTTGTTTCCAGCAAACTTTTTTGTAAAACTTACCGTTTACGATTTATGGCCCATTTAATGAACAGGTGGTGCTTCGAGCGCCATCTTGAAAAAACGTTTTCAGCCGATATCTCGGAAACTATGCACTTTAAGGCAAAAGTTATATGAACCATTATTGTAGAAAATAAAATTTCGCATCTTTTGTTTTCAGTAAACTTTTTTTTAAACTTCATCATCATCATCATCATTACAGCCCTTCACAAGTCCACTGCTGAACATAGGCCTCCCCCAAGTAATGCCACAAAGCACGGTCCTGAGCCACCTGCATCCATCGACTTCCTGCATGTCTTACCAGGTCGTCACTCCATCTAGTGGGGGGTCGCCCTACACTACACCTACCGGTACGAGGCTGCCACTCGAGAACCTTTCTTCCCCATCGGTTATCGGTTCTTCGAGCTATATGGCCGGCCCATTGCCACTTCAGCTTACTAATCCGTTGGGCTATGTCGGTCACTCTGGTTTTACTGCGGATATCCTCATTTCTGAGTCTATCACGCAGAGAAACTCCGAGCATAGCCCTCTCCATAGCTCGCAGAGCGACCTTAAGCGTCCTCATACGGCCAGCCGTGAAGGACCACGTCTCAGATCCGTAAGTCATCACTGGCAACACGCACTGGTTGTACAATCTAGTTTTTAGAGATTGAGGTATACCTGACGAAAAGATATGCCGTAATTTCCCGAACGCTGCCCAGCCGAGTTGAATCCGTCGATTGACCTCTCGGTCGAAGTTGGACTTACCTAGTCGGACTATTTGTCCCAGGTAAACGTATTCGTCAACAACTTCGAGCATAGTGCTCCCAACAACTACCGGCATAGGTGTGACATGGACATTGAACATGATCTTTGTTTTGTCCATGTTCATCTTAAGACCTATCCGTTGGGAGGCACTATTGAGGTCATTGAGCATAGTGCTTAAGTCCTCCAGCGATTCTGCCATAAGGACTATATCGTCGGCAAATCGAAGGTGAGTGATGTACTCGCCATTGATGTCAATACCGTATCCTTTCCAGTCCAGTAGCTTGAAAACGTCTTCCAATGCAGCGGTGAAGAGTTTCGGGGATAAACCGTCACCCTGTCTTACACCTCTCTGCAGTTGGATAGGTTTCGAGCTCTGGTTCTGTACTCGGATAGCCATCGTAGCCCTACTGTACAAACACTTCAGCACTTCGATATACCGACAGTCAACTTGGCACCGCTGAAGGGACTGTAGCACCGCCCAAATTTCGACGGAATCAAAGGCTTTCTCATAGTCCACATACGCCAGGCAAAGTGGCAGATTGTACTCTTCAGTCTTCTGTACAATCTGCCGCAGGGTATGTATGTGGTCTATGGTACTGAAACCTTTTCGGAAACCGGCTTGTTCGGGAGGCTGGAAGTCGTCAAGTCTGCGTGCGAGACGATTCGTAATGACTCTCGAAAACAGCACGTAGACGCGGCTCAGAAGGGAAATCGGTCTGTAGTTCTTTAAGAGAGCGTTGTCGCCTTTCTTAAAGAACAAGACCACCGCACTTCTGCTCCACGCCTCTGGAGTAGTGCCACCATGGAGGACGGAATTGAAGAGCTTCTGAAGGACTTCAAGTACCGGTGTTCCACCCGCTTTCAGAAGCTCCGCTGTAATTCCATCCTCGCCTGGGGCCCTGCCGTTTTTAAGGTGCTGGAGAGCCATTCTAATCTCGCTTAGACTGACGTCCGGGATATCATCGGAATAGTGTCGGATAAGACTTGCTCTTGGATCGTTACTCACACTTGCGTGTGGCTCCAACGATGATGTGTACAGCTGCCCATAGAACCTCTCAATCTCACTCAAAATCTCAGGTGTCCCGGAAACGATGTTGCCACACTCAGTCTTCAGCCTTGACAGTTGGCTCTTTCTGGCAGACAGATCTCTGGCAAAGACTTTGGAGCCCTGGTTCCGCTCGATCGCTTCTTTAATACGAGAAGTATTAAAGTTGCGTAAGTCTCGCCGTATGCATTTGGAGATCTGTCTGTTCAGTTGCCTGTATGCTGTCAAATCTGTTGACGATTGCAGCCTCATCTCCCGTCTAACAGCCATGAGATTAAGAGTGTGATCGGAGAGTTTTTGTGTTCTTCTGCGGCGGGTCTTGCAGAACTTAGCTCCGACCGCATGGACAGTTTCCACGAGCTTGTCGTTCATATCGTCCACTGCATTGCAATCTTCTAGGCACTGGAAGCGGTTACGTAACTCGAGCTGAAAGGTTTCGGGATTCTGGATTAGAGCACGAGGGGGACGGAGCGTTGACTTCATTAGACGAGACCTCTCCAACTTAACGTTTAGGTTCAGTGTGCCTCTAACCATTCGGTGATCGCTGCCAGTTTTCACCCTTGCGATCACTGAGACATCACTGAACAGTTGGCGTCTGGTCGTCATAATGAAGTCAATCTCATTTTTTGTCGAACCGTCGGGGCTCGACCAGGTGCACTTCCTGTGGGGCCGCTTCTGGAAGAAAGAGTTCATCATAAAGAGTCCCTCTTTCTCCATAAAGTCGGCCAGCTGCTGGCCCCTTCGGTTCCGTTGCCCTACTCCAAATTTCCCTACCTTCAGCTCACCGCTTTCTCTTGTGCCCAGTTTTGCGTTGAAGTCTCCCATCAACACCGTGTAGTAGGTTTTGGAGGAATGTTTTTTTAAACTTACCGTTTACGATTTATGGACCATTTAATGAACCGGTATTTCTATTGCGGCCAATAACTCTTGAAATATTAGATTAATCAATAAAATGCATAAATTTATTTTAAAAGATCAGTTTATTTTCCAAAACTTTTGTTTGAAACTTTTTTTTCTAACATTCATACTTTTTGAGTTATAGAACGTTTCATGTCACGCATAGCTGTCCGCGTCACCCGCCGAGCTCGGCCGACGCTCGGCAGGTGACGCAGCAGCTACTTTATGATTAAGAACCTGGATTTTATTGCTATTAATTCGGGGAATTCCAAGTAAGACGTCATTATTGTTTACTAACTACGACTTACGGAGTCTCATTTTTGAAATTCGAGTTTATATAGTATAAATATCTATTATCAATATTTCGTAGGGAAATAACATTTTCTTCGAGTTACAAAGTCTAATAATTCAAGATACGATACCGCGTATTTAGGGGTTCAGCGGAAGGGAATGGCAATTTTTTTCGACTTACTGAGGATTTTAAATTAACGTGGTTTGAGTTATAGAGATTCCACTGAATATCATAACACGCATATAATTTTTTAAGTAGAGCGTGTCTATCAGCAACTTAATATATCAAGTTTTTAAGTTTATATGTGAACTATATAATAAAATAATTATTTTTAAATGTTATTTATAATGTTATCTATGGTTTCGAGTAAACTTAGTGATTACATACTCTTTGGTTCTAAGGCGTCCCTCTAAATATTATTATACTCTTTGGCGCGGTCTAACAAGGAGACATTGGATCGAGACTCATATGTCGAGACGCCGAGCTTTTAAGGGTTAACTGATTTTACTGCGCACGCAACATTGGAGGGTTAAACATTGGGGGAAAAACGTTGCTGCCCATAAATCACATTCAATTTGGGATAACTTCAAATAAAAGTAGAAGCCTTATTTACTCATATTTTCAAAAACTGCAATATAACCATATTTATATATTTGAACTTAAATTTAAAATTTGGCTACTCTAAAAAGTAACTCTGTATATTATATAAAAATGGATGTTGGTATATGTTTTCGATTAAAATACGTCGAAACCGCTGCGCTGGTCCGATCACCATGAAAGTTTGTACCTACGATTTTCATGCAGAAGGTTCATAATATTAACATCTATATCGATTAATCGATTGCTATAAAAATTATGATAATTGGTATACACTGGCTAAGTAACGACAGGATCAGTAACGACAGCCCGGTTTTGCTGGTATTTTATAAAATTTTATAATGAGCTTAATTTTTATCTAAAATTTAATATAATTCTACTAGCTATATTAGCTAAGGCATTGGATAACTACTTATCCTTATATATAAAAATTAATTGCTGTCCGTAGTCGCTAAAACTCTGAAACGGCTTAAGGTGGAAGCGCCGGCCGTCCGTCCATACATTTTTTAATCAAATTATACACTAAAC